AACTACAGGGGGATCACGCTTTTAAGCCTCCCTGGTAAGGTCTATTCGGGGGTTGTAGAGAGGAGGGTCCGTCGGATAGTCGAACCTCGGATTCAAGAGGAGCAGTGCCGTTTTCGTCCTGGTCGTGGAACACTGGACCAGCTCTACATACTCAGCAGGGTTCTGGAAGGTGCGTGGGAGTTTGCCAAACCGGTCTACATGTGCTTTGTGGACTTGGAGAAAGCATTCGACTGCGTCCCTCGGGGAACCCTGAGGGGGGTACTCTGGGAGTATGGGGTACCGGGTCCTTTGATACGGGCTGTTAGGTCCCTGTATGAGCGATGTCAGAGCCTGGTCCGCATTGCCAGCAGTAAGTCGGGCTTGTTCCCGGTGAGAGTTGGACTCCGCCAAGGTTGCCCTTTGTCTGCGATTCTGTTCATAACTTTTATGGACAGAATTTCTAGGCACAGCCAAGGTGTTGAGGGGATCCATTTTGGTGGCCTTAGGATTGCGTCTCTGCTTTTTGCAGATGATGTGGTCCTATTGGCTTCATCAGATAGTGATCTACAGCTTTCGCTGGAGCGGTTCGCAGCAGAGTGCGATGCGGCCGGGATGAGGATCAGCTCCTCCAAATCCGAGGCCATGGTCTTGAGCCGGAAAAGGGTAGAGTGCCCTCTCTGGGTCAGGGAGGAGGTCCTGCCCCAAGTAGAGGAGTTCAAGTATCTTGGGGTCTTGTTCACGAATGAGGGAAAAATGGAACGCGAGATCGATAGGCAGATAGGTGCAGTGTCTGCAGTGAAGCGGGCGCTGTACAGGTCTGTCGTGGTGAAGAGAAAGCTGAGTCAAAAGGCGAAGCTCTCAATTTACCGATCGATCTACGTTCCTACCCTCATCTGTGGTCATGAGCTTTGGGTTGTGACCAAAAGAACGGGATCTCGGATACAAGTGGCCGAAATGAGTTTTCTCCGCAGGGTGTCTGGGCTCTCCCTTAGAGATAGGGTGAGAAGCTCGATCATCCGGGAGGGCCTCAGAGTAGAGCCGCTGCTTCTCCACGTCAAGAGGAGCCAGTTGAGGTGGCTCGGGCATCTGGTTAGGATGCCTCCCGGACGCCTCACTGGTGAGGTGTTCCGGACACGTCCCACCGGGAGGAGGCCCAGAGGAAGACCCAGGACACGCAGGAGGGACTATGTTTCTCGGCTGGCCTGGGAACACCTCGGGATTTCCCAGAGGAGCTGGCCCAAGTGGCTGGAGAGAGGGAAGTCTGGGCCTCCCTACTTAGGCTGCTACCCCCGTGACCCGACCCCAGATAAGTGGAAGAAAATGGATGGATGGATGGATGGATAATCTCTTTCTTTGAATGGTGTCCTGCACTTCACTATTCCACCACCAGATTTTGTTATCATCCCTTCTCTGTCCAGATGACACACCAAATACCTTCCTACCTGTCTCTCTAATTACTGTGTAGTAGTCCAGTCATTTGGAAACTCTTACCACCCAGAGCCTTTAACAGCTCCTCTCTGAATTTCTCACAACATTATTTCTTCCTCAGCTTCCACCATTTGGTCGTCTTCTCTGGTTTTACTTTTTTCCTCTTCTTCACAACAACAGTCATTCTACACACAACCACCCGATGTTGTCTGGACATGTTCTCCCCCGCCACAACCTTACAATCCCCTATCTCCTTACGGTTTACTCTTCTATGCAGAATGTAGTCTACCTGCACACTCCTTCCTCCACTCTTATAGGTCACTATGTTCCTCCCCCTTTTGGAAATCAGTGTTGACTACAGACATTTCCATTATTTTGGCAAAATCTGCCACCATCTGTCTTTGATTCCTTTCCTTGACACCAGACCTACCCATCCCTTCCTCATCCCCTTTGTTTCCTTCACCAACATGTCCATTCAGGTCTGCTCCGATCACCACTCTTTCCTCCCTGGGAATATTCTCTATCACTTCATCCAGATTTTTCCAAAATGTATCTTTCTCCTCCACATCATATCCAACCTGTGGAGCATAACCACTGACAACATTTAGCATCAGACCTTCTACTTCTGCCTTCAGACACATCACCCCATCTGATACTCTCTTCACCTCTACTACATTCTTTGTCAACTCCTTCAGGACCACCCTTACTCAATTTTTCTTTCTATCCACACCATGGTAAAACAGTTTAAACCTTGCTCCAATGCTGCGAGCCTTGCTGCCCTTCCACTTGGTATCTTGGACACATAAAACATCTACCTTCCTTCTCTGCATCATGTCAACCAGCTCTCTATCTTTGCCTGTCACTGTCCACAAATCTTAGAGTTGCAACCCTCAGTCCTACAGTCTTGACTTTCCTCTTCTCCCTCATGTCTCCTGACATGTTTCCCTCCCTCCCTCCGTCTTCACAGTGTAATTTTACTACAAATAATTAAAACATTACATTCCAGTGAAGATTTGGACGCAAACATCATTTAAGTCAACATAACATCTCTTTCTCTTCAACCTTAAGTCTTTTAGTTTAAGTAATCTTTTTTCTTTATTGATTCACAGTTTTAACAGTTTAAACCACACAGCAATTTATGCACAACTCTGTTCATGTTTGACATGTCATATTTCCTTAGCAGGTCAGTGACCACAGTGAAAGTTTAATTAGAGGTGAGGGCAGAGACCTAAACAGCTGAGCAACAGTTGAATACAAAGAAAAGGAGAAATGATGAAGGATTTCTGGTCTTTTTTGGTCACGGAAAACCTTGTAATCCTCCAGATGCTGAAGACCTTGAAGCCATGGTTTAAGCTTCAATGACAAATCTCACAGAAGCAAGGTTTTCACTCTGTAGACAAACTAAAGCCCAGATAAAAACTTGCAAGTAAAGCCGGTCACCTTATATTTTTATAACACTAACTAAAGAGGAAATCATACAACGGTCTAGACTCGCTGTTAATTTTGCACATCTGTCTAATTCACAAAACCCTTGGAAAATGAGCTCTGTGCCTTCCACTTGAGCTCTCTATTCACATTTAAATAAATATTATTCTGCTTTCAGAAAAAAAATCTCCAATATTTATGGAGTTTTATGACGTTAACTTCCAGGGCAAAAAAGATGAGACTCTTGAAGACCAGCACTGTTTGCAACATGCATTTAGCATCAAATATGTGTTGTCTTCTGAGAAATTTGAAAAAAGAAAGGAGGTTTAGCAAGCTGCTGCACTGCTGCCTTCACAGAAAAATGGCAGGCGTGTCAAGAAAACAATCCTCTGTTAGTGGTGTCTCAGACATGACTGCATCTACAAATAGAGTGTAAAAACGTGAAATCCTTTTGACGCTGCAGAATACCAAACCTTCTGATTAAAGAACATTTCTAAAGACAGTGCTTCATATCCATAAACCAACAAACAGAACTGAAAGAGATGATTATTGTGGACCCATTGTTCATGTGCCCTCATCAATGCCCTCCTAGTTGGCAGGTATGAAGGTAAGAGGGTTGCAGTCCAACCCTGCATGTGGGGGCAGATTGTGGAGCATGCACCTCACAGTCCAAAAGGAAGTGTATTTTTTAAATGCATTATATAAAAACAAGGTGCAGGGATGATCAAATCACTTATGATTTGGAAATGCCATCCTGAACCTGATTCCTCCCTGATACACTCAGATGTTCGTGTCCTTTTAAAGAGTGCCTCATTTGTTAAAACAAGGAGCTTACTGCAAGGAAACAGTTTTTCTACTTTTGTCGTTTATGTTGTGAAAGATGGTCATGTTTAATTTGTGCTGCGAGGACAACTGTGATCTGTTGTGTTCTGATGAGAACAGAGGTAAAATTACTCACACCTGCTGAACGTGATGGACATGCAGGTGTCAGTATGATGCTATTTACTGTGTTAATATGAAGCTGAGACAGAGCTGATAAAAGACAATAATAATTAGGGAAAGATGGAGCAGATAACACCAGCATAGACGTGTGAGTGAATCTGCCCGAGTACCTGTGTGTGTGGAGGAGTTTAGGATTACAGAGATGCATTAAGGTGTTTTGCAGCAGCTCGCTAAGAAGAAAATGGAAAATAAACCATATATTAGGCTCACAATGAATGCATCTACATTTTGTACAGATTGTGGGACTCTTTAAAGAAATTTTTCAGGTATCTTTGAATTTATGTTATAAATCTTGTTATAAATACTCCTCAACAGTTAGGAGCTCATTTTATGACAAACCTATTATATTAGACAATATTTATAATAAAACCTACTTTTCCAGTGTTTTGCTGCTGGGCCCCAACATTTGAAACATATCAAATGAAACATATCAAATGAAAACAAGCATTTATTAGAAAAACGAGTCAGAAATCAGGTGAGAAATGGCATGAAAATTAAATCAGTTTTGATGTGATACAACCACATATGAAGTAATCAACTTGATCTCATAAGAGGAAATCCACTCTGGGTAGAAAAGCACTTGAACTCATGGCACATCCATTTGTAAGGGACTTATTGAGACACTGGTTTTCTTGTTCAGGGGCCAGAACGGGCCGTTGGAGAGTCTGTTAAATGCTTTGCAGACCATCTGTGCCTCTAACACTACAGAGTGCTTTTTGTCCTTGAAGGAAGTGATGCAACCGAGTCCTTCCTGTGGTGGAATCAATATAACAGCAGAGGCGTGTGAAATGCACAGTGATGTCCTGAGGCGTTTCAGAGTAGCTCATCACTATGGCAGCAAACACATGATGTCAACATGAAGCTTGTGGAGATGGTCTAAGTCTATCAGAGCTCAAATGCATTTGCTTGCAAGTGTTCCTCATTGACATGCTCTTAGTGACAAGTTTCCGAGCAAAGAGGAAGCAGGAAAATAGCACTGAAGCTGTTCCTGCAGCAGTCACTTGATGCTTTTAGACCTTCTTTCATTAATGGCAAGTCCCTTCAGTAAAATATGTAGTTTTATTTGGAAAACCAAACCAAAAACACTATCATCTAAACTGACACTACTTTGTTTCACAGCTGACAACAAAACTTTTAGCAAATAATAAGAATCACAGATGACTTACTGCAAACTCCCCAGCGATGCCATTTGGTGCCTCCTCACCTGCAGCCTCCTGGCTCTCCAGCTGGGGCAGGATGCTCCTCAGAATCCAGGCCTGCTGCTCCATGGTTGGCTGTGTGCTGCCTGGGATGAGGTTCCCCTCACAGGCATGTCAGGTCACAAAGGTCCCTGTCCACAGATCATGGAGGGAGGCCTGTGTTGAGCACTGTGGGTCCTTCTGTTGCTGCACAGCTCACTTCTCTATTGCACTTGTCACATCAAGGAACTGCTGTGACGGAACATATGAACTGTTATAGAGGAAGCAAAAGTCAGCTTACAGGTTCTGTGGTCAGATTAAAAATATAGCCGCGCCTCCTCGGTGTCTCTCACTGGGTCCTAAAGTTACTCGGCTGTTTGACAACATTTAGGAGTGAAACATCCAGAGGCAAAGTGAGCCATGCTTGTCCTCATACAAACAGCAGATCTGACAAAAAGTCAGTGAGCAGAGCAGGCAGTTCAGCTCGTTAGACAACATTCAGGTCACAGCAGGAGGGGTAACTGTGGAGAAACTGGTAGAAGAATGGCCTGAAAGTCCTGACACTAACAAACCCTGTGAGACACAAAAGACAGTTTAGCTGTTAGGAAATACTCATTACAAGAACATCCAAACAGTTTGCAGTTTAACAGTATGAAGAATGAAGAAAAGCTTGTTATGATCATTCAGCCTAGTGTACACTTATATGTGTGAATACAAGGGGACATGTGAATTTTTTTTCCTACTTTCAGTTAAATATCTATAAAGACTTGTCAATATTATGAATGGACAGACATATGACCACATATGTTCATATTTCTTTCAACTCCATTTTGTTCATTTGATCATTATTATTAAAGTAATACTTATTTTAGGCCTGTTGACTGAATTTATGTAATTTAGGATTTTACCAAATTTGCTTACTTGATGCAACTCCGTTTTCTTATAAAGGCTCTGAATAAATGCTGACTGATCACTGTATTGGAGGTTTTTTTTTTTTTTTTTATCAAGCATCATCTTAAAGAGGTTATGAGGAAATAATAAGTATATGCATTATTTACCTGCCACTGCTCCAATAAGACTCAGGCCTGCTAGATGAGACAGTGAAGAAGTTCTAACGTTTTCTCATCAGCACAGGGACATCTAGTGGCTTTGTGGCAAACTTAAAAAAAACTATCAGAATATAACCTTGGTAGCATTTAGTGATCAGCAGGATTTGACAAAATTATCAGTTCACTTTTAAAGTTATAGAGAAAAAGAAACATTTTATGTTATTTTTGGATTACAGTATAATAAATAATAATAATAATGAGAATTTAAAAAATTATGGTAGGTTATACTAGGACTTAAACAGGTATAATTTCAAAATATCACCACGAATTACAGTAGGACATTTATTATTTATCCTGAACTAAAGCAAGTTTTTAAAATAAAACATGATATGTAAAAACTACAGGAACACCCCATAACTCAAGGCCTGTAAAACCATGTTCTACAGCAACAAAATTAATTGAGTTTTATTAAGTCTCAGCTCTAAAACATAGATTTGTCAAATTTATTCACTTTAAAGTGTTTCAGTTTATTAGGAACTGCAGGTATTTGTATCTGTACTGTTCTCTTTATAGTCTTTCCTCCATGACTTACTTGAACTGGGTCATTACACCTTTTCTTTCTCATTCTATTGTAAAGTTGCTGCTTTGTTTAGGATCATAGTTCTGTTCAGTGACCCAGTTTGGGTCCAGTTTCACTTATGGGACAGATGGCCTCACAACTGACTCTAGGATACTTTGGTATACAGAAGATTTTATACTTAACATAAAGGCAACAAGGTGTCTAGAGCCCTAAACTATGAAGCAACTATTCCTAACACCAAGATATTAAAGCTGGATATCAGGCTGGTAATTTGAACCAGGTTTACAAAATCTACTGAGGAATCTTAATCCAGGGTTTTTACATAAAATGGGTGGTGTTGTCATTAGGATGGCCACAGGATATGTATATGCAGAAAGTGCAGACAATAATAAATTATAAATATGTGGAATTTAAAATTGTAATTCAAGCCAATATCTCATGGTGACATCTTTGTGTTTTATAGATGTTGGAGATTCAACAACATTGCTGCCAACACCACCTATCTGGTGGCGTGTCAGTGGTAAATAACACTTATCTTGGATCTCTAGTTCCAGTCGAAGGACAAATGCTGTCAAAAGAAAACCTTTTTGTCCTGCTGGACAGCAAAGTTTTATCCTGGTCTCAACTCTCTGAAATACTCAAGAATTTGTCTATACTTGCTCCATCCATCTTTCCTTCAACTCTGAACAGTTTCCCAGTCCTTGCTGATAAAATAAAGAAAGAAATCCAATCCCCACAACACGATGCTGCTACCACCATTGTTTGGCTGGCCGGTGAGCTGAGAAGGTGGTTTGTTTGTATATATTAACAGATCGTGGCGCTGCGACATGGCAGTTGTATCCAGTTCACCACACTGACTGTGAAATGCCGACCCTTCTACCTGCCTGGAGCTGACAGCAGTTTTCATTACAGCTGTTTATGTACAGTACCACCAAGCGCTGACATGAATGAGACAATGGCAGTATTCTACATCACTGAGCAGCAGATGGAACAACCTGATGAGATCTTAGCTGGAGAATTCAATCAGGCAAGTTTGACATTGGTTTAGCCAAAATTCTACCAGCATGTGAATATTACAACCAGAGGGAAGAGGCACCACGACGGTGCGATGATTTCCCCTTGATTGAACCGTTTTGACATTTAGTTTTGAACTGTTTGTCCAGGTTTTTTCCCCATCACATTTATTAACCTTTATTAACCAGGCAAACCCTACTGAGATCACAGATCTCTTTTGCGAGGAAGGCCTGGGCCTGAAGGCAGCCTAACATGCATGTTATTGATCTGTGGGACGAAACCAGAGTCCCAGGAGAAAACCCACACAAGCACGAGAAGAACACGCAAACTGCACACAGAAAGACCTCAGATCCAACTGGGGATTGAACCCAAGACCTTCTTGCTGTGAGACGAGTGCTATAACCACTGATCTGTCGTGCTGCCCTTTTCCATCACATGCATAAAGCATCATTACTTGCAAGGATTGATATTGAAAATGTAACAAAAAATTAATGAACGGGGGGTTGTTAGAGAATTTTCAGTCAAAGGTTATTAATATTTTTGTTGTGGCTGAGAACATTTTCCCCTCTGCCCTGAAAACAAGCAGCTCAATTGTCTCCCACTCTTTTATGTCGAACTGAAGGCCTACTGGTGACGTCTCCTTGATGCCTGTGAACCATATGTTTGTGCAGACAGAGTGTTGTGATGAGACATGCTGCAGCTGGTTTCAAAGACGACCACTGAACTCCATTGAACCCCGCTGAGAATGTTATAAAAGTCAGCAGATAACACTGTCCGCGGCTCATTTCTGTGACGTGTCTTCATGCTTATTCATTTATGTATGTGCAGCCCACCTTTACCCTCGGTACTAGTTCAGGGCATACAGACTCTGGTCCCAGTTCAGGTGAAGAGAAAAACCAAACGATGTTCTAAGGTGGTGATGCAATCATCCTTCTGCTGGTCCAGGGTTTAACTCCAATGGGCAATGTCCAGGAGTAGGAAAGAAAAATATATATAATCCAAAGGCACTCTTCTGGCAGTCAATAAACACTCCAGTTATGACTAATCTTCACATCCAGGTCGAACTGATGAAGAGGCAGTCTCGTCAGTAAACTGAACAAGCTAAACTAGGATTCCTGTGCAGCATTCACTTGCCTATAGAATGCTAAATGTTCAATGTTAAACTGTCTCAAAGTGCAAAAAAACCCAAAAAAAATGCAGAACAAACTTCAAGCTGAAATATCCTGATGCATGCTCAATAATCCAGGTAGAAAAATCTAAAAAAGTTAAATCTGGTCCTCTGGACATTCAAAAAAAAAAACCCAAAAAAACCAAAGCAAATCAACAAAAAATGTAGAAACGTTTCGTCTCTCATCCGAGAGACTTCCTCAGTCTGAGGAGCTGTATTCAGCTCAGTCTCTTAAATAGCACCTTCTCAGAGTGGATCAACCAGTTTGCTGCTGACAACCAAAACCAGCTGATCACATGCTCAAGAAGGACCATCAGCCTAACAATGGATCATTAGCACACTGATGGCTGTTTACT